CATGGGGGTTATCACCAAAGCTCCTGTGTTAGAACCCCTGCACAAAATGGAGTTGCTGAGAGGAAAATAAGACATATTGTTGAAGTTGCAAGGAGCCTTTTGTTTGCCTCACATGTTCCCACAAGATTTTGGGGTGACGTTGTACTTACTGCTACCTATCTCATAAACTGTATGCCATCCAAGATTTTAGGGTTTAAATCCCCCTTTAGTCTTCTTCATCCAGACAAGGATCTCTTCCCAATTCCTCTTCGTGTGTTTGGCTGTACCGGTTATGTTCACATTCCAAGTGTGTAGAGATATAAGTTTGAACCAAAAGCCCACAAATGCATCTTCCTTGGTTACTCCCCCACACAAAAGGGTTATTGTTGTTTTGATCCAAAGACTGGCACCCGACATGTCTGTATGGATGTTACCTTTGATGAACTTTCTCCTTTTTATGGCTCCTCTCAGGAAGGACATTGTCAACAGGGGAAGAGTTTGTCACAAGTTTTTGCTCTTCCTCTTCCTGTCCCAGTTGAGTCTTTTGACAAGCCTGTATCCTCACCAAATGAATCAAAGGAGGATCAACCACTTCATTCCTCTTGTCCTAGTGCCCCTATTTCTTTACCTCCTCGTCCTACCCATAATCCCAAAGTGTATCAAAGGCAGAGATCCTGGAATGAGCATGTAGTTTCCCTTACAACAGATGAGGCTCATACTTTCCCAATCATAGATGAGATAACAGGTACTGCTTCAGCCCCCTTGGAATCATCCTTCCCAGATCTTGATGTCCCCATTGTTGTTAGGAAAGGAAAGCGGAAGTGCACTGCACACTGCATTTCCAAACACCTTTCWTATGACCTACTTTCTCCTTCATACTGTGCCTACCTCTCTTCAGTTGCTTCTAACCCCATTCCTAGGTCTGTATCAGAAGCTCTTGGGATTCCAGAATGGAGAGATGCCATGAAGACTGAAATGGATGCTCTACACGAAAATGTTTCTTGAGAGGTGGTGGATTTGCCTGAAGGGAAGGATCCAGTTGGGTGCAAGTGGGTCTTTACCATTAAATACAGGGTTGATGGGACTATTGAGAGGTACAAGGCCAGACTTATTGCAAAAGGCTACACACAGACATATGGGATTGACTACCTGGAGACTTTTGCCCCTGTT